ATTTTATTTTCCACTTCTTGTCTTTTCAACAAGTCTAAACATGAAACCACTTTATTCTTGAAACTTGATATACAAATGTTGACGAGGTGTAAAATCAAATTCTTTGTTATTTTATTTTTAAAAAAGTTCTCAATTCTTGAAATAGAATTTTACACCGTACGTCAAGGTGCCCAAATTGGATGACTGTTTGCATCCTGTATCGTTGCTATGCCAACGAACCAGAAAAGAAAAAAAAATACTTCTAAACAGTTGTAAAATTATACGTACCCGTCAATAATGTTTTCGGGCGGAAAATCCTCGTCATTGGATGTGGCCAGGGTAACACTGGCCTCTGACTGTGCCAATGAGACACCCAACATTTCGAGTTTCTGTTTTATATTCCAAGACAAAGTTGACAAAGTTTTCCTAAGAATTCATTTAATCACCGGAAGTGAAACAAAATTATCTCCCTTTTCTGTGAAACCAAAATTATTTCACACCTTGCAGCCGCCGATAATGTATTAATTATTATTTTATTAAAAAAAAATATAATGGGGAAAGGGCGATGGTTATTCTCTGGCACGAGTAAATTGCGAAGGTGATGTGTCATTTTTGTCTCACTTTAAACTCGGCCTTGAGCTATATTCTGTTTTGTGGTTGTGCGGTTAAAAGTTTTTTAAACAGTTTAAAAAATAAATGAATTTTTAGTTCCACGTTTTTATTTATTGATAAATTGTTTTGTCTTTTTTTACAACTTGGTAGAAATTTCGTCGAATTTAAATCTGTTCAATTGTAGATTATTATTCACTTTAATTAAATTCACCAAAATATTGGGATTATTGTACATATTACGAAGTCCGTAAGAAATTAAAATTATTTTTGGTCGAGATGTACGTATTTTTTCCGTCGACGCCAATGATCGGTGTTCAAGTCTTTTCCTATCCTTCATTCCATTTTTTAGGCTTATGTCAAACCAAACTAAATATGGGGATTTTTTTTTAAATAGAAAAATAAAATTTCCATGGATCGTTAACCGGTTTAAATTATCTTCAATCCAAACCGGGTGTTACTTCCGCTTCGGTACCAATAGAAAAAGTAGTGTTGTTTGCCAACAAAATTTTTGTCCCAATTGGAATACGTTATGTTGTTTAATATTTGTTTTTCCTATTGAAAGAATATTAACATTTACACACATGATCAAGGAAGTGCCTAAATGAAATAAGAGTGAAATTTAAATGTCAGATTCTAATTTATTGAGCTCGGCCCTGTGGCTTGTTATTGTATCACTTTTATGGGGTATCAGCAACCCATTGCTTAAAACAAACAGTTCCGGGATTGAAAATATCCGTAAAGATAATTGTTTTTCTCAGTTTTTTGCCCAACTCGCCTTTCTAGTCAGTCGTTGGCAATATCTTTCTGCTTTTTTGGCAAATCAAAGCGGCTCTTTGCTCTTTTATCTAACTTTAGTTTCTGCTGATTTGTCTCTTGCAGTTCCAATTGCCAATTCTTTAACTTTGGTTTTCACCGCAATTTCAGGCTGCTTCCTTCTTGAAGAAACTATCTCCAATCGTTCTCGACTTGGCATCTTCTCTATCCTTTTCGGAGTCGGACTGTGTGTGACTAGTAAAATCTAAGAACACGACTTCCTTTTTAATGGTAGGTATTTCAAAATTTAGCTAAAAAAATTAAATGCTTTTTTTACTTGTCTCATATTTTAAGTAATTTATATTGTATCTTTGCTTTTTACTCTCAAAAATGAAATAAAAACGTTATTCCCTCGCAATGAATATTCGTGAGTTTAGTTAGTAACTAATTTTTATGTTTCAGTTCCATGCTTCTACTCTCTTTCTCAGTTAAAAATACTTTTCTTTTTCACGCGTAACTTTTAAATGCAAAAAAGGTGCAAATTTTAAAATTTATCTTAAATTTTATATCAGTAACTTTCAAAATTGGTCAACTAAAAAAATGAAAAGATATTGATGATTTCACTCACTAAAAAAATTGTATATTTTAAATAATAATTTTTTTAAATAGTGTTGAATCATTAATGAAAGCTAAAAATGTTCGAAAATCATTTTAATATCATTTGTTGTTTCGCTGTGATATGTTTCTAACGTAAAAAGTTGTCAATTTGAAAAAAAAATTATTCTATAAAATATTTTTTTGGTTATTATTTTTAAAAAAATAACACTTTGGGTTATCTCCCCTTGCATATTCACGAATTACTTCTATTGAATTCCACATGTGCTTGTAGAGATTTTTTTTTTAAACTTTCGAATTCTCAAATTGATGACCAATATTTAGTTACTTCTTTCATTGACGTGGTTGCGCTATTTCCTACCAGTGTCAGATATTGGATTCGAACGCAGGTACATGCCCAAGATTTCGAATAATACATTTCCATTTCCTGTATTTGTTTAAGCTTCACTTTTTTTTTTTTACCTAGTCTTGTACACCTAAGGAAAACCTAAGTAAATTAAATGTAATATGTAAAAAAAACATTATTCTAAAAAAAAAGTAATAATATTTAAATTTCAGTAGATAACATATGCAGCGGCTTACCGAAACTTTTGTACCGTCCCGGTAGGTAGAATTTGCCGCTTGAAACATTCCAAAACTAAACATCTAAAATTATAGAAAGATTACAATTACGTTAATTAACTGTGTTTTAGCTGCAGGAAAAAATTAAAGCACAAAAAATAAGATGGAAAAAAAACATTTAAAAAATAATTAAAAATTTTTTTTTTAATAAACAATTTTTTTTTATTTTTAGGATACATATTTTTAGGTACCATGAAAAAATATTCCCATATGTCCAGTGAATTTAAAAATGGCACAATTAATTTCACATGCTAAGTCATTTCAAATTAATTCCACCAAATATTCCGCCAATACACAGTGGTTTGTTCGGAAACAGTTTAATAATCACAACAATTAAAGGTAAAAACAAGTAATAAAATAAAATATGAAAGTTTGTTTTACTAAGTAAAAAAACAAACTTTATCTCAAACTCCCCAACAAATCAAATTGAAAACTTTAACCAACCGTTTTATTTTTGTCGTTTTATATTGTTTTGAGGATCAAAGTGATTTTTAATTGGATAAAAAAATTTAGAGTGACAATATATGTCTATATTTCTGAGATGAGGTATTTTTACACTAACATTATTCGGATTATTGTCCTCATCATCTTTGTTGCCATATTTATCACAACGCTTCGGCCGTTGTACGATCCGGCCTTAAGGACACATGGCACAATGGATAAAGAAAGGCGTTAGTTAGATCAAGTGACCGGACCCAAATATGGCAACAAAGATGAGGACAATAGTCCGAATAATGTAAATATAGTCGAGTGACAATGTTTTATTCATTAATTACGGTGACATAGAGCTCTATCGTACTTTTGAAGATGGTTAAAAAAAACAATGAGCATTTGATCACATGTTGATCGATTAAATTTTGATCTTCCAGATACTTCCACGTAAAACTAAATAAAATCTCCTATGTGACAAAAATCTTAAGTTAGTTTTATTGTCATTAAGAAGTAAAATTGAAGAAAATTTTGATGTAAAAATTATTTGCGTCTAATGTCAAAGCAAAAACCTTTGTATATTATTTACAACATTATTCGGACTATTGTCCTCAGCTTTGTCGCCATATTTATTACAACGTTTCGGCCGTTGTACGCTCCGGCCTTCTTCAGGTGGTTGGAATGTCGAACATAACCCTTTATTTCGCTCACTGGGGTAGACTGTTTTAATACCACATGCCATGATTAATGGATGTCAGTTATCAGTTATCTCCTGTTAATTCCCCTCTCCAAGTTCTCCACTGCCTTAACCGGGTAATTGAACTCACACTCTTTGGGTCCTGTCACTGGATCTAACCTCAAGGACACATTGCACAGTGGATAAAGGTGTTGGTTAGATCCAGTGACAGGACCCAAAGAGTGTGAGTTCAATTACCCGGTTAAGGCAGTGGAGAACTTGGAGAGGGGAATTAACAGGAGATAACTGATAACTGACATCCATTAAACATGGCACGTGGAACTAGAACAGTCTACCCCAGTGAGCAAAATAAAGGGTTATGTTTGACATTCCAACCACCTGAAGAAGGCTAGGGCATACAACAGCCAAAACGTTGTAATAAATATGGCGAAAAAGATGAAGACAATAGTCCGAATAATGTAAATCTCATCTCAGAAATATAGACAAAAACATTTGGTATTATTTTTTTTTTTTTTGTACCTGAATTTGACTTTATTCATTTACTTCTTCCTTTCTTTTTTTTAGCAAGGATGTGATCTGGTAATGAAGACAATGTAAATAATTATGAAAATATAAGCAACTCTTTAAGCATCGGATAAATTGCTCAAAGTCGCGTTTTTAATATAATTGTTTTTCTTTTTAATAGCCGAAATTTTCAATTATTTTTGTTTCTTCATTTCCAAATGTGACTTCAACCAAAGAATTGTTTATCCTCATCTTAACAATGCCTTTTTCATTCTTACCATTAGTTACTAGAGATGATGAAATCATGAAAAATATTTTCTAATCTACAAATGTTCTAAGAAAGTATTTCATTGTTTTTAAATTGTCTGTAAGCAAGATATCTGTTGCAATGCCAATTTCCCATCTACTTCATCTCTCCATAACATTTTTTTTCTGTTTTTGCCAAATTCATATCTATTCATAATGATAACTTTAAGATAAAAAATTGAGAAATTTATTTATAAAAATTTATTTATAAATCGTTTCATATTTCTGCAGTTCTCTAAAGATTGATCATTCTTATAAAATATTTTGCCCCTAACCTATTTTACTAAAATTCTATTTTATATTTTTTTCATTTAATTCCTATTTTTTATTTATTACAAAATTTTCTTAGTGTGACTGCATTTTGTCAAAGTAAAATCACATTTGTTTAATGTTATTAGAAGAAAAAAGAGAAATTATTTTTTAAAATATTTTCTTAGGTTGACTAATGTGGTTTGGTTATTAGTGAAAATCTTAAAACTTCTTGATGGATGTAAATGACCCTCCATCTGCTGAACCCAGTGTTGCAGAGAATGTGACCTTTGGGGATTTAGTGACTTTATTGGAAAAAATCCAGAGAACACACGGAAATGCTAAAAAACGAGAAATTCTTGCCAAATTCATTCAGCACTGGCGAGATGCCCATCATAATCTCCACAAAGGCAAGAAAACGGTAAAACATTTTTTTTTTCCTTTTCTTTTATCATAAAGAAATTTCAGTTGGATCTTTTCCCTTTTATTTAAAAAATATATTTAAATAATTATTTTTAAAATATATTTGTAATAGATTAAATAAAGGTTTCAGTACAGGATTCCCTGTAGGTTATTCAGACTGATATACACCTGAGGAATGCTAGAGGGTACAATGGCCAAAATGTTGTATTGAGGACAATAGACCATGTGTAAATGGTGTAAATAAAATGATAATTCCTCATCCCAGAAATTCAGACAATTTTTATTCCTGTATTACTACCTCCCTATGCCTACATATATATACTGGACTCTCCCATTGTTTTCAGCTTATGTTGCCACCCAAAGCTATAGCACCCAGGCTTTCCTATTTACCCATAGCTGTGGGGAGAAGTGATGGATTTATACATTTTCCAAGGGTATTTGCACATATGATGAACTTGACGGGAATTCAAAATTAGCTAACCATATTCCTCAATTTGAGATGCTATCCATTACTCCACCAGGCTTCCCATGCAAAACACACACACATACACATGTGTTTTTATATATATAGTACAGGTCTTGGTATATAATCCAGTAATATTAATTATTAAAACTAATCCACAGAGAGCTTGATATTTTTAACAGAGCATATGTATTTTTTACAGCAAAAATACAAAAATTACCTCAACATAGAGATAGTCAATTTCAAGCTGTTTTGTGCACAGCTATGATCAGTCCCTAAGAGTCTGTGTCTTGGAGCATTGTTTTAAATTTATTTTCAATGTCAGTCCTCCTCTGGTAGATGCCTTGTTAATGAGAATGGGTTTGTGTTAGCAATTGCTGGGAGCGTGAAGTGGTCTGGGATTGAAGTTTATTTATGGCCAGAACCTTTGTTGTTTGTAGTTTAATATCAGTTCCTACTATGGGGCATTTCTTATACAGGCCCTGAATGTGTTTTTCTGGGATTCACAGTGAATAATTTTTGTACTCCAGGTATCCAATATTATTAATAAACAATGGGGGATTTAAACTTAAACCCGTTAAGATTAATGTAAATTAGTTGAGTTATAGATTTATAGATTGTGGGTAATGCCCAAGCACCCAATGAAATAAATGATGCTGTTTAACACACTTATATGCATACATATCTTCATACATACATATATGTACATTTACATGTCCATACATATATGCCACTATACATACACATACACCCCCACATGTATGCCACTATACATACACCCCCACATGTATGCCACTATACATACACCCCCACATGTATGCCACTATACATACACCCCCACATGTATGCCACTATACATACACATACACCCCCACATATATGCACATGTATTCTTGTATAATTTGGAATTTTTTCCTGTCTACATTTCATGATTAGTTCTCTCTGTTGATTTAATAGTTTGCATTGATCTTTATATTTTATTACCCTGATTTTTCTTTTAAACAAAGCTTGCACCAATCCCTAAAAACTATTGGGGGTGTTCAAAATCTAGAATTTTCCTATTTATTTGAGGATTCAGACCCTTTTCTTTCAATTCCAAAATTTTTTTTTTTAAAGGGCTAAAAATATGTATATATATATATATATATATATATATATATATATATACACACACACACACTTTATGAGTGAATTTTGGTCTTGTGAACTTGGCAGTCTGACAAAAATGATGTAATTTTATTTTTGGAAGTTAGTCATTTTATACAGTGAATATAGGACCCTATCTGAATGAACACATTGGAAATTTAGGAGTCAGCTTAGAAATGGATATATATAATTTTATCATTTAAAGCATTTATTTTGGGGATTTACAACTATAAGATTACTAAATAGAATAGTTTCTTTTTTGTAATCTGAGTAAATGTAAGTAATTGTTTTTTGTTTTTTTTTTTAAATTCTGAGATGAAGTTGTCTACTTTAATTAAACTAATCTCATATTTATTGTTTTTAACAATATTTCAGTCAATTAATTTTTTTGACCTTCCTCATGTGTCAATTGTTTGTGATAGTCTTTCAAGGTCACTTTGATCCCACCAGTTGAACAAGATCTGTGGGATTATCTTGTGGGAAATTAGAAAGAAAAATGTACAAAGCACATTTTAAAGTTATAACAATTTATAACTGAGAAAGAATGTATAAAATGAAACATTGTATTAAGACATGAAATCATGAGGATCATTGTCTAAAAATCTCTGGAATATAATGAAAACTTAATCTCAGAATTTCAGACAGTAAAAGACTACTGAAAAATATATCCATCAAAATGTTAACAATAAGAATGAAGAAAGTTGTTTGTTTAATTTTTGTTGATTTCATTTCAGACTGACTCTTTCTATCCAGCTATGCGCCTTTTACTACCCCATTTAGAAAGAGAACGACTGGCTTATGGTATCAAAGAGGTCAGTTCCCCAATTTACATTGCATAACATGTATTAAGTATAAATTTTGTACCACTCATACGCCCAACAAAGCCACCTTTTCCTATGGATGAACAGAAAAGTAAATGTGACATTAAATTCTCTTTTACTATTTAATGAAGAATCTTTTTTAGCTTCCCCACTACCACAACTTACCTTTATTTGTAAAAGTTTTTTTTTTATCTATTAATACTGAGATCAAGTGACAACAAGTCTTCTAAATGCTTGCATTCTCAATATTTTTGATGAATTTAATTCTGTTTGAATTGTCTCAATTCTTCCCCAAATTTCTATTTTACTATTACTTCAAGTGTTCCAATAATGACAGGCACAACTGTCATTTTCATGTTCAACATTTTGTTCAGTTCCCTTGTGAAGTTAAGATGGAGGTCCAGCTTTTCACTTACTTTTAATTTTACTCTGTATGGACTCTGCTGGAATAGTAAAAACTGTCACTTGACAGATGTTCTTATTTACAATGACCAGATCTAAACTTCAGACCTACATTGAATTGCAAACTCTTTTCTAGTTCTCTATGAGAGTTTGTAACTGGGCATTTTTTCATTAGTTTACATTGTCAAATCCCAGTCATTTCAACAGTTCCCAAGGAATAACCATTCCTACACAATCATGTCTATTTTTATACTTCTCTTAAGCAAACTTGCCGAGTTTATTATTATTATTCAAGTTTTAATCCCTTTTAACAGAAAAATAATTTATCAGAATTCAACCCTGACACTAAAACCTATTAACCTTAACCCTAACCAGGCTATGACAATTATATTTAATCATGAAACAGGCGATTACTATTCATTGTTGTTATCTATATCTACCCTGCTTTTACACACACACACACACACACACACACCCTAACTGAAAGTTAAGGTAATTATTTTTATTTTTAAAGTTAGCACTTCAAATATTCTTATTCTAATTTTTATTTTTACTTGGAAATCAATCTCAACATGTTAATCACAAAATTTATTGGCAACAAATTTTTCAGAACTAAAAACTTGAAAGTTTTTGTTTTTTTTAATTTTTTTTTGTTGCTCTCTTCTTCAGCATATGTTGGCTCGGCTTTTGATTGATGTGCTGTGTCTGGGAAAAGACAGTGCTGATGCATCCAAATTAATGCACTATAAAGCAGTCAAGGCTACACAATTTGTAAGTCATTTGTTTTAATAATTGTTCTTCTTTGCTATAATACTTTTGCTACCTTGCAACAATAAAACTTTTTAAAACATTTGACAGCAGCAAAATTTTTATAAAAACAAATTTTCTTTTAATCACCATTTTCCAAAGGTAGTAATTATCTATTTATATATCCAGTTTTCCCTCAACATCTTCAATTCCTTCTAAATAATTTTGAAAACATTTATATTTTTGTGAACTTCATCATTGTTTTCGTCAAAGGTGAAAAGATATTTAACTGCAGCTTAGATGACACCGAGAAGAATTATATGAGTGAATTAATAAAAATGCGTTCATCTGGCTCTCTATTTCCTTGTTAGCAGAAACTTTACATTCACTTCATTTTTTCTCAATACATTGATGTTTTTGTAAAAGCATTTTTCAACACTTAAAGAAAGGCTTTAATCTTGAGGTTACAAGTAAAAACTAAGATTAAATAAGCATTTTTAATCAAAATAAAAACGTTTAAATGCTTTTAAACATTTTATAGAACTTTTCCAAAATGTAACTTGCATCTTGTAATTCTATAAAGCTAAACAAGCATAATTTTTTTTAAAGTTAATGGGAATAAAGCTTGATTAGTTTGGTGAAGAATTCTTTGAATTAAAATGAAAAATTAATCTGAGCCTCACATCCCCCAGAATGAAGAATGTGTACTCAAACCTTGCTTCCTGTATTAATCAACTCCCTAACCAATCAAAACAAACAAACAACAGTTGATAATCTGACAACTGCCCATATATGGAATTCAAAAATAATCTGGAGAATTTAGATGGGTTATAATCTCCAGAAGGAAATATTCTTTCCAGTTGAGTGAACCTAAAATTTTCTGTTCACCTTTAACCCCTGCTTCATGTAAATGATCCACCTAAACTCTTTTCAAATTGATTATTTAGGACATCATTAAAGATGAATGCAGATATTCAAGATTTCACAAAAAACACTTGCACCAATAACACAGGTAGACATTGAAAAATGTTTTTGTTATATCAGGTGATTTTTAGATATTTTGTGTTTGCTGAATCCAAAAATCATTTTTTTTTTAATTTTCACTAGCAGTCCACATGATACATATGGTTATTTTATTTGAATTTCATTATATATTTGAATTCAGTACCTTCTAATATTAAATCCATATCTGCTATTGTCTGATACAATATCTGATGATGTCTCATAAATTTAAGATGTAATGATTCTCATTAAAGTTTATTTCTTTACAGATAAATTAGATTAATTTTGTGTACTTAACAATCATATTATGGTGTTCAGAGGTTGTATGAACAATCTGGATCATTTTGTCTGTATTTTTGGAAAATTTGTAGTAAAAAGCAGAGAAAAAATATAGATTTTGTTTAAAAAAAAAAAAATAAAGTACATTTACTTTGGGATAAAACTTTATGGCCAGTGGGTCCCTCAAAATGTTTGTTTTATTTGTGATGTTGTAAGCGTTCTGAAAGCAAAGGAAGTATTTGAAACAGATTACTTCCACAACACAAAGAAAAATCACTGTAAGTACAGACTCGAATATCGGGGACAGAAAGAAATGCTGAAAACTCGATTCACCGGTACTATCTCAAATCACAATGCATGTAACCAGTCAGAAAAATAACTCACTCTCTAGCAAACGCAATAGCCAAAATGCCCAAATTTTCTGCTGTCGATTCGAGAACACCAACTGCTTTTATCGGCAGAACCTTTTTTTTTTTTTTTCATTCATCGACAGCTGGGAGAGGATATTCAGTAATTTGCATATCAAAATACTTTTATAGCAACTCCTGCGACGGACTTGTTTTTTAATTCAAATATTCCATCTTCAGCATGTCATGCGGAATACGTGCCCTTTTGTTTGGTAAGTAATTTTCTTTTTTGCCACATTTTCCGTCGTAGAATACACGCAATGCGCTGTTGCTTGGTTTGACGAAGTAAGTTGCCGTTTTCTTCGCTATACTCCCCCCTGATCTCACTATCACAAATCAAACAAACTGGAGCAGCTCTCTTTATCCTGGTGCTTCGTCGTAATGGCACTATTTTCACTGTCAGACGATGAATCATCATCGTTCGCTCGGCGATGTATCAGAATCAACGAAAAAGCAAAGATCTTTTACATGCCCTGGCATCCCATCAACTAGTATTGTTTGTGGACTTACAATGTCCGTCATGCGAACCACTTGATACTTGGAGGTACACCGGCCATGGGGAGCTTTCACCCATACTCTGTTCCCAGCTTTGTTTATATTGTGATACTTACAACAATCAGGTGGTAATGTTGTAATAATTCCCTTTACGTTCAGTTGGTAACGGTGAATCATATTGGCAGGTGCATTAGTCGACGATATATCATCCTTCGGCGTGATATTATGCCAGTATACTGCCTCCATTATCAAACACTGCTTTCTTGCTGCAATTCACTTTATGATCCGATGAGATCTTTCCACTATACTATTTCCTGCAGGAACATAGGCGCAGCGAAAACGAAGTTGGACTCCCCAGGCATCCAAGAAATCTTTAAAGGACTTACTGCGAAATGCAGTGTCATTGTCGGTCAGGATTTCTGATGGTGGGCCTCGTTCAAAAAAATACTTTCTAACTGCCGAATGACGCTTCTTGAGTCTTGTTGAAGCAGGCATCGCCATATCACAAATCTACTAGGGCCACAATCCATTAACGTAAGGTAATGTTGCCCACCGTAATGTGTAATGTCCATTCCTAAGTGGGTCCAGATTTCAGTCACACTTAGGTTGCCACGAGGCCAATGACTTGAGGCTGGGTCAATTGACTGGCATTCTTTACATTTTCTGACCACTGCCTTGACGGCCGCAGGGTAGACTCGTCTTAGAAAATATAGTGTCCGCCTGGCGCCAGGATGTCTACTCTGGCAATGTATGGCACGTATCTGATCAGGAGAGGTTTTGTTCACTATGGAAGCGCATATCGGGCGTGTTGGTTTGGTTTCCTTCTCTATCATATCATACCATCGTTGCGGTACTCTGGTGAGCTTATCCGCTCGATTCTCACTCGACGTTACTAAGCTTATCGTGATCAATAAGTTATACTCTTGAATCAGCTTTTCAAGAGTACTCAAACGCCTCTGGATCAGCATCTCACTTGCCGCCTTAGTTCGTATTCTGGCTTTGCCAGTGAGCATGTTTGATACCCAACGGTGCACATACGTGGAGTCTGTGAAGAGGTGTAGCTCCGTTGCACTCCACTGTAATGCTAAATTGACGCCCTTCAGAATAGCATCCAATTCTGATAAATTGATATGTTGGGCGTCCTTCACAGGTCGCAGCCAACATGCATCTTCTACAACGCTTCCGTCAACCTCCAACGAAACCCCTGTGGCGAGAGAACTTGCATCGACCCATACCTCCTAAGCATGTCCGCTTGTGCACCACTTACCGTGTGCCGGGTTATTCTGGCGTATTCTTTCCGCTATGTCCTCAATCTTGTTCTTAAGGGGAGCATCTGTCACTTTGTCATTCCAACCAGATATGATCGATACTGTCCTGCATTTTACAATAAGGGATAAAAGGCAAAAAGAAAGATCTTGCTTTAGAAATTCCAATGATTTGTAAAACAAAAAGAGTAAAAAAAAAAAAAAGGAGATCCCTAATTCTAATTTTTCAACTTGTCTCCACATGGCTCTGATCTACTAATCTCTGATCCAGACCTATTTCCACATGGATCTAACTATCCAATCTCTATTCAGGACTTCCTTCTACATGGATCTGATTTACTAATCCTTATTCCAGATTTGTTCATCTTGATTTGATAGAAATTCACTCAGAGAAGAAAAATGCTGCCGATAAAGATGTATTTTCAAGCAACAAACCACAGATATTCTCAAAGAACAAATTTCAGTCTCTCCAAAGATACTTGCAAGCTCTTGGAGATTGGATTAAAAGAAAAAATTCAGGAACAGCATTTTCTTGTTACCAAAATATAGAAAATGATTTTCCACCATTTTTCAGCAGATGGATCCTTGGCTCATTGCACTGATTGAAACAGTCTTGTGCACAAATTTGGCATCAATTACAATAGAGAAGAATAAAGACTATAGATTCGTCAAAAAGAAATCTGAAAGGGGAATTTCATCACAGTAAAAATGTGATAAATACATTTGCAATTTATGTTCACAAGTGCAGAAATAAATCACTAATCACAATTGAAACAGTTTTTAATGACTTGCAGATATGCATAATTTTTACAGAACTTGTTGTTCCCAAAATTGATTCAATAGGAATTTAAAAATATCCTTTTGAAAAAGTATTTTTAAGATTTGATACAAGTAGAATAAATTAAAAATCTCACAAAATTAAGAGATCATCAGCAGTATTTGTGGTCACTGGCATTTGTGGAACTATGAGTGATGTAGTTTTTATGATTTTCAGTTGATTTTCTTTGTTTGTCAGATCTTGATTAAATCTTTCAGGATCTAAAATGCTGCTACCCTCAAATATTCAAATATTGTTTTGACAGAAATGATCTATTTTCTGAATGTTTCCTTGATTTTTCTTTTCATTTTTTTCCAGGGTGCTGGAGACTTTGCTAACATAGCTTATTTTGTCCTGAAGAACCGCTGCCCTGAGAAAGGAACTCTGACTATTGCCGATGTGAACACCAGTCTCGATGCAATTGCTGTCAACAATTCCAGCAAGAAGAAGGAATTGGTGCGCAAGAATATGATGCATCTTTTACGCAATTTGGCTGCCTTAGAACAAAAATGGCTAATTCGAATGATTTTGAAAGATCTAAAAATTGGTCTCAGCCAACAATCCATATTTGCTGTGTTTCATCCAGATGCTGATGAAATGTACAACGTCAATAACAGTTTAGAAAAAGTACGTTTTCATCAAATACGCTTTCTTTTTTCTCTGTCAACTGACAACCACTTGTTGAATTTGATGCCATTGATAGAAATTCTAAAATTAGCAAAGAAGTTCAAAATTCTGGTTACATCTATCAATATTGCTTACTTAAGAAAGGTATGAATCATATCTACCTTGTGATTAGTGTAGCGTAACTGAAAGGCAGCAGTCTGTGGATTCTGCTGAACTGACTACAGTTCGCCATTCTAAGAGGCAACGAGTGGCATGCGTAATATGTAAGCAGATTAGTGGACGCTTAGCAAATGTAGCAACAGTCCCTGGCAAAATGAAATACTGGATGAACAAGGTAAAAAAAGAATGGCCTACCTTGGAAACGTCCATGAATCTGTGCATCATGTAAAGTCCGGTTGCTTGACGGGGAAAAAAAGAATCAAAATGGCGGCGCCCATGTTTTATGACAGGTGGTCTCAGACGACTAACACGAAATCTCGTTGGCTAGTGATTCATATGTATAAAGAAAGCTGTATAAAGAAAGCCATCTTTTGGGAGAGAGAGTGGTGTTCTTGTTGGCAAGAAGCGATGGCTGGGTGTGTGACCCGATTTTGCCGTCTCTATGTGGCCTGTTGGATTGTTACGTCGGACACTCGTTGAACTGGATTTTGGCTACAAGTGTTGCGGTTGAGAGATGAATCTGCTTCAGACATTCCTACCAGAAATTGACACTCATTATTTGTTTTCTTTTGCTTTTTCTTTTCTTTACCAACACAATTAGTCAAGACTACCAAAAGAGAAGGCCAGTTCTGTGGAAACAGGGAAACATGTAATGTCACTATCTTGAGTCTTTACTTGCTTTTCAGAAGAACATTTGTTGTTATTCACCAAACTTACACATGTTTTAAATTATTTATCTATTTGCTTTTTCTTTTAAATATTGAATCAATTTATAAAAAAAGCAATGCTTTAAAGATGTGTTGTACCTCATAGCAAGAGAAATTACAAAAATGGACCAAAAGTCCATGTGTTTTCTTTTCTGAAAGATAAAACATATTATCTGATATTTGAATGCTCGTTCAATCAAAAAACTGTCCCTCATATTTATCTTCAATGACCCCCTCTAGAGAGTCACCAGATTCTAAGAGAATTCAACAGGAGGATTCTGTCCTTAAAAGTGTTTAAAATCAAAGTATTACTGATGAATTTAGCATACAAACAGCAGAATAAATTCCATTATTATTAATGATCTAGAAGGGAAATTAAATTTCCTTGATAGAAATTACTGGAGTTTTGTTAGGCAGCAAGAGACACTTATTATATTCAGCATCATCAAATCCCCATATCCAAAAATCAATCTGTCTCTTGTAATTGAATCTGATTTTGAAGTATATATGTTTTGAAGAGATGTGGAAATGAAAACAATAGGGGACTATAAGATTCCTAAACATGTTACAGATCAAAATACTCTTGAAATTCTGATGGAAAACATGAAGAAAATGGATACAAAACAACAGCAAACCAAACCTCAAAATGTGATTTTTATATTAAAATTGGTAATGCCGTTTCAACTATTGGTGCAAGAAGAATCAAACAAATATTCGATCAAATTTATATATGAGCAGCTATACTTAATGATACAGAATATATATGATTATTCAACAGAAACGGTATTTTCTTCATTGTTGTATAACTGCTTCCCTAAAGGGTACAGGTTGTTAAGAGACAGCACAAATATAATTATACCTTAGCTATTGAAACATTAAAAGTTTAACCTTATCAAATGAACAAAATATCTTGAAGCTGAGAATTTATTTGACATAGTTAAACATCTAATAATTGGTTTAGAGGAGATAGGCTTTCAAGTATTATCACTCATAACAGATGATACTATAAATAAAAAAGCCATATCTTTCTTTTGTAGTCTACCAAAGCTTCCTATTGTCCACAACCCAGTTATGAAGTCAAGACCTCTTTTCTTCCTATTTGATTCAGTCCATATATTAAAATGCATTAGAAACAATTGGCTTGGTTAAAAAGATGCAATTAATGCAGGCTGTTCCCAAAATTTTATCATAATGGAAATCATGAAGTAGATAGAATCCAAAGTGCCCCATTTTGTACCTTACAGAAACTTCATGGTCAGGAATCTCAGTCAATTTTGAAACATTGTTATAAATTGACCTCAAAAGCATTTTACTAATCTTGAAAGGCTAACTGTTAATTTAGTTCTGCAAATTTTTAAAGAGTACACTATTCAGGGATTATTGACCTTAGGAAAACAGAAAAGTTTCCTCAATTTTGCTGACGTTGCAGAATATATAAACATATTTTATGCTTGGTGGATAATACTGATTGTAAAAACACCATGTAAAGGTTGTTGGCTTAGAAATAAATATTGTAACCCACTTAGTCAATGAAGAAAATTTTAGATTTCTCTTTCTGTATTCTGTGACTGGTTAGAATCTTGGAATAGCATTTCTGGAAAAAAATGGCAAATTAACAAAGGAAACCGCCACTGCTTTGCATCATACAGGCTATGCATTTATGGAACTGACCAAGTATTGCATAGAAGAATTGAAAATGCCATACATATTACCTTTGCAAATTTCAAACTGATCACCTCAAGGCAAGGTTTGGTCAATACTAGCAACTTAGTGAGAAATCAGTATAATATCTTGATACAGCAAGTGTTTGAATGTTAAAAAAAAAAAATCAGAATGCTATCAATTTTAAAATTGAGCTTACCATTTCATCAGCAATATATTAAAATTGATTTGAAGAATTTACAAGAACCAAACTGGGATGAAGTGATAGAGAATCAAAAGTTAGATATGTAGTATAAATTTAGAATTGATGTTAAAGATGATGATGTTAATAAATACAGAAATGTTCTTTCTGTTATACTTAGCAGGTTATTTTGCTCTTATGCATTTTGAAGAAAATTAAAGGCAATAGTTGCAAAAATTCAATATCTGGAAGAGATAATGTGAAAGAAATCCCTGAAATAAACATCTATCTACAGGGGATTAATAGAGGTTCTCTTTTATATCCCAATGATACAACTACAAATTTTCTTCTATATAATTATGTAATCATTGGTATAATGATAAAAAAAACTTCTTCTTTTCTTCATTCAGTAAATCAAAGGAAATTAGCCGTGTTTTGGCAGATTATGAGCTTCTTAATTTTGACATTTGTAATGAGAGTCACAGTATAGAAAAATAGAAAGAATGTTTATCTGGAGTTCTTCAAGTGTTTTTGACCTCTTAATTGCTGGTATTCCCAGGACAACCCTGACCCAGGGTGGTAGCACCTGTTAGGGTCCCAGCTATGGGCAAATAGTTAACTATTACCAGCAATACTTTTTTGAAAAAAATTATTACCAGCTATACAATTTTGAAGGAAATATATTACCAGAAACAGATTTTTGACAAAACAAAATATTACCAGCAATAAAAATTTTTGTCAGCATTAAGTGACCCATTGAGGTTGATATGCTGTAAAACAAAATAAACCAAACCAAACAAGTGTTTTTGTTCTAAGGAAAATAATGAAATTACTAGTAACAAGTTAAGCAAAAAAAAAAGATAACTACATTCAGCTAGTTCTATATTTGTAACATATTTTTTGATAATAATTTTTTTTATTTTTAAATTTATTGTTTTTTTGTATCTAGTTTATTTGCTTGTTTGTATTTATTTGTTTTATATATATATATATATATATTTTTGTTTGTTGATTTTTTTTTTTTAAATTATCGTTTATTCGTAATTCACTTGTTGCTGATTGTAACTTTACAGAATAATTATTACAATTCAAATAAAATCATGCAAGTTAAAACAATGCTGATTATAATAAAAAGAAAAAAGGTTTTAAAATTTTTAAAATTTGAAACAATTAAAATAATTAACAAATTTCAGATTTTAAAAAATTTAATGAAACATGATTTTTAGTTTATTTACTTTAATGCAGCATTCAGCAAAAACATTTTTTTTATTAATGTTTTTAAATGAATATTAAATAAAGTTTGGTGTAAAATCCAACCCTGTTTCATTTTAAAATGTAATTTTAAACAGTTTCTCAAGCTTTTTTTTTTTTTTTTTGTTTACAATCATTCATTATTTATATTACTGCTTGTGTCGCTAACTTCATGGACTATCTTTGTGACATCACGTCAAAGCCAAGCAGGCCTTCTATTTCGGTGGTCTCGGCTTAGTCATCTTGCCAGTCATCATGATGGGAGTAGTAGTAAATAAGCATTCCTTATGTTCTTGATTGTCAAAGCAAGAATAGATCTCATATTTACTATCAGTGATGACATCTGATAAATAAGGAAATTTATTTAGATTGGACAATGTGTGTGGAGTAGGAAGAAGGTGTGTATAAATGAAAGTTTTTAGAATATTTACTTGAACTTTCACACCTGCATACAATTACAAAACAGTTGACAAATCAAATGTAATGTAAACCGAGTTGCTTTTAAGTTTAAAGATTTGAATCCCAAATATGGAAACCTTTTTCTTGTTGTTCCTCAATTGTTACAACCAAAAGGAAATTTAAAAATGTTTTCATCATTGAAATATTCTCTTTTTATTTTCCAATATTTTCTCAGCAGCCAAAATCATTAAAACTATTGGTATTCTTCCCATTTCCAATCTTCAGCCTCCCAAAAATCTAACATGTTTTTCCTTTCTTTCTTAGGTTTGTATTCAACTTCATGATCCAAATCTGAGATCCCATGAAATTGCTATCAGTGTGTTCTCCCCATTTTCTCCCATGTTGGGTGAATTTGGAAATCCGGACAAAGTAAGTATCACAACAAATGGGTTCAAGTCCAAACAGTCTGTGTAAATTCAAATCTTCAATCTAAATTCCTTTTCAAGAAAAGTGTCTCTAAAAAACAACAAACAAAAGAGAATAACAAATGTACAAAACTTTTCAACATATGCTGCATATTTTTTATTTCTCTTTCAAACAATTTGTCATTGATTCTCATCCCAACACAAATACAGAATTTTGTTTTCCACGTGCGCACACACACACACACATCTATATCCATTTATATGTATAGACACATGTAGACACTATTTAAAAGGTATTTCAGTCTAATGAGAACATATATCTATTAAGCTTAGCTACAAATCTAGGGCACCCAGTGTGGATTCAGGTGCTCATATATGCAAATGTATAATTTTTTGTTTTTCATTAAAATATTATGAATTCCCTGAAAGTTATGCAAGCCTCACTTAATGTAAATCTCATGCAATCTGTAACACTGAAAATTATGCATAAAATATGCTTTCTTATTCCTTTGTTCCACACACACACACACCTTTTTTATTTTTTTAAATTGATTTTTTTTCTTTCAGATTTCCAAAGTAATGGCCGGCAAACAATTTTTCATTGAAACAAAGTTTGATGGCGAACGAATGTTACTTCATAAGCAAAAAGGGGAATACAAATATTTTTCTCGAAGGTTGGTTAGAAAAATTAATACACCATTTTTTTTTTTTTTTAGTCAGGCTTAGGAAATGGTTAATAATATTGCCATTGTTAGGAACTGTCAGCCAATGCCTGTGAGTGTTCGACATTGATTTCTATTGGTCATTAACAGAGAGTGGGAATTAGTCAGGATTTGGTGAAGAAAATAATTTGAGATTATCTTTCTTGTAAAAGGTGTGCTATTCCTCCTATGACCAAATTGGGCATCTGAAGATTTAATGCCACAATATAATTTAATAGAAGATTTTAGTCAGCTTTTAAAATGTCCATTAAACAACAAATAAGCATCAGCTAAGTTTTGTATTTGATGCAAACTTCCTAGATTTTAGAAGGAAGATATTTTTCAAAAATACTTTCAATAAATTCAGTACACAGATTCACAGAATCTAGTTCTTTGTTTTTCCACAAATTCTTGTTGCTCATGTGGAATTCTATGAAATTGTCTATGATCCATAACTGTTACCTGATATGCTTTTAAATTAGATTTAATGCAAAGAAAAATACTGCAAGGTTTTTGAGTCTTTCTTTCAGATATTTAGGTTAATTTTTAATAATGTCTTTTTACATCTTGATTTCATTCAAGACAAAAAATGGATTTAAGAAAAGGTTTTATTCAAAATTTTTCAATGACTTTTGACAGCTTTTCTTTTCAGTGGAACAGATTACAGCAAATATTTTGGCTGCACAAAATATGAAGGAAGTCTAAGCCAATACATCCATAATTGTTTTCATGAAGAAATTAATTCATGCATTTTGGATGGGGAAATGCTTGGATATCATTCAGCCACAAAGACATTTGGTAAGTTCTTCAAAATTGATTGAATTCCCTTTGACATCTCTTTTAATTCTGAAGTACTAGGAGCATAGATAGAATTTATGCAAAATTCCCATTGTCTTTGGATTCCATTAATTATCAGAAGTAAAGTATCCATCCATTGATATCAAGGATGAAAAAGCTTGTGTATCATAGTCACAAATTTAGACTTCCTCGAGCATCTATATGTAAATATCTTTCATTAGAAATGACTGACAAGGTACTTCAGTTAAGATTTTGTGTGTTTCTTGTTTGTGAACAATGTTAGAGAGTGGGGATTGTTGCTCAACTAGCTAACAATGTAAATATATAAGTACTATTTCTGTAGGTGGGGCAGATAGCATTTGAATACATACTCCCTCCCCTTATTTGAATATTTTCTTTATCTACTTCTAATCGGCTAAAATTTATTTCAGGTTCTAAAGCTGACCATTATGATATAAAGGCTCGTGATCTTGGAGAATATCAGGCTTGCTACTTTGTATTTGACATTCTTCTCTACAACGATTTAGTTTTGTCCAATCGACCTCTTCAAGAAAGAGTTCACTTTTTAAAAAAAGTTTTCCAACCGATTGACGGCAGAATTCACATAAGTGAATTTAAAATTGCAAATTCAAGGTGAGTTGCTTTAATCTTGAAAAAATAATTCATACTAAATTTGAATCATTTTTGTCATTCTCTTTATTTCTTCTTTTGATGACAATCAAATAAATTCAACTTTCTTCAAAAGAAAGAAGGGAAGGCAGAAATCATCAAGATTATTTTTGATTGCATTCATACAAACTCATTTATTATGGACAGCAATACAAATGTTAAAATTTTTTTCTGAGGAAAATATTGACTAATGGGCATAAACTGAAATAACTCTAAAAGTTTCTTTAAAAAAAATGTCAATGACAAGTACCTGGTTAATGAAAATAATTTCTATAAAGCAAAGATGTTTTGTAGGCAAATTGACTCAGAATGTGAGTTTGTCTTCTCCCACCAACAGTAAAGAGGAAATTTGTAAAGGTGTTTGAAAATCAAGCAGAAACTTCCATTTGCCTCTGGCATTCTGACACTGATGAAATAAAAGCTAGTGATATCGAAGCATATTAGGTTAGTCTCAGCACAAACATTTTGGCTTTGGAATTATACTTTATCTTAAGAGTTTTCATCTAATGAAGGCTTTATAGTTGTTCTCTCATCAGCAATTGCTTCTTGTATACACTATGCAAAAGAAACAAACTACTTGACTACAATATCAGTTTGACATTTTTCTTTCTTGCTACTCTGGTGGGATGGGGGAATGAGGGTGAGTTTGATTGACCTGAAAGTCTTGATAAACATTCTGACTTCTTAAAAAAACAAAAGCTCCTTCAAGAAATATTTGTAGCCCTCCTCCCTCCCCCAAAAAGTGTAATCATTAACTCCTCTCCCTAAAAACCATTTTTTTATGTATGAGGCAATAGTTCAATTGTCTTAAGTTTCAAGTATTAATTGTAGATTGATAAATGATTTCCTCTTTACTGTGTGAGAAGACAAACTATGAAACTCTTAGCATTAACTCTCAGTCTTCATTTTCTTGTAGAGATGCTTGCATTGATGCCTTGAATAATGCCATAGACAATCGCGAAGAAGGAATTATGGTAAAAGACTGTGAATCTATCTATCGTCCTAGTGCTCGGCGAGGTGGCTGGTTCAAACTGAAACCAGAATATGTGGATGGATTGATGGATCAGCTTGATGTTCTTATTGTGGGTGGATTTTGGGGCATTGGTCATCGGGGTGGGTTGATGTCCCATTTCCTTTGTGCTGTGGCACTTCCAACGCCCACAGGGAAGAAACCAAGTGTCTTCTGGTCTTTCTGCAAAGTAAGCATTCTTTGGCAGTTCTTAAAGATTCTTTGCTCTTTCAACAATTTTTCATTAGGAAAAAAACAAAACTTGTTTTTGTAATGGTTTTATTACAGGTTTGTTTTTTTTTTTTTTTAAGATTGCATTTAAACTGAGGAATAAGTAAACTTTTGAATACTTTCTTTTTCCTACAACTATAGTGGAGATCTGTTCAACACTTATAAGATTTTACAAGTAGGTGAATTAGTAAGGGGAAAACACTCATTGTCTTTTTTTTTTTCTGACAGGTTGGTTCTGGTTACACAAAAAAAGAATTGATTGACTTCAATAAGAAATTGGCTGACTACTGGCAACCTTTTGATCGTAAAAATCCTCCAAGCTCAATTATCTTGGCCTCTGGATTTAAAGAGCAACCAGATGCTTGGATTGAACCGTCAAAATCTTGCATTGTACAGGTAAATAAAGTATACAAAGTTATTTTTCCGTCTTCAATTTTGTTAGAATGTGAACCCGTTTTTTGCTTCACTTATACGTACTTGAATATTTCTACATATGTTTTAATTAGTCTTTCATTAAGAAAAGTTTGATCCAAACTGAGAAAAAAAAATGTTTTTTGTTGAAATTTTTGACATAGGAATTATTATATGCCTTGTTATTTGGACTAGCATTCTCTCCTTGTGAACTTTATAAAACTTTCTGTGCAGTTCAGAATGGAAAAGAAGCATAAATTCAACACACTCTCTTAAGTAACAAGAATCCTACAAACATAGCATCAACTTTCATGAACAAGGACAGAATAGTTGAGGACAGCAATAAAAACTCTACCATAGCCTGTCTTTCATACATACAGGCTATATCTGAAAGGATTCAGCTTATGTGTCTCGTACAACATGAGGATTGTATTTGAAAGAACTCCCAGCCTTTGGATATATATTTTCCAAACCAAGTCTCACTGTGAAGAGAACATAAACAAGAACTGTGTGTATTCTATTCAATAAAGTCATTGCAATGGCAACAAGGGTCCAAGGAAAGACATTGAAATCAGGCATGGGTGATCACCTGAGGAATGAAATCAAGATATTAAGTATAAAACAACACTGGACAATATGATAACTGAAAGAGTCAATGTAGATGTTAGGTACTGACAACGCCCTCAGTAGACCTAGAATAGAGCTGAACTTCATTTGGAAGACTCTGATAAAGTACAGACATTAGGATTAAGGCTCGAAAACTTCAATATTTGATTGTCCAAGCATATTGAGTTAAAGCATTGGTTAAAATATATCTTCCTCTGGTGGCTGTGAGTTAAATCTCTACAACACAAAGGTGAATAAGTATATATGATGAGTATGAATGAAATATCAGAATGATAAGCAGAAATTAACTGAGGTTTGATTGAAAATTCCAAGGTTACTGAGGATGAAGACTGATACTTAAAGAACGCTGGAGTGTAGAATTGCTGAAATATTGTAAATATCACAACTAAGATGAGCATTACTGATCCAAATAGCAAAGTATATAAGAATGCAGTGCATACTTCTGCAGATATGATGCGCACAGAAACAGACACATAATGCATATAGTAAAACACAGAAATAAACAAGCATTTTTGTGCTCCATATTTCATTTCCTCTGTGACTAAACATGACTGATGACAGCCATTGAATGAAACCAGTAAGTTTAATTGCAAATTGCACTCTAAAACTTGTGACTCTTTTGTCAGAGAAGATTCCAAGATTTTCTGATTCCGTCTGATGTCTGTTTTGGAACGAATTTCAGAAACAGTGAACTGCTTTCATCTTAATCATTAGTCTTTTTGCAGCTTTTCCTTCTAAAAAATATTTTCAACACAATTGTTTCTTTTAAAAAAAAAAAAAACTTTATTTTTTTTTTTTTAACCTCTAAAGGCTTGTTTCTTTCCAAGGTGAAAGCAGCTGAGATTGTATCAAGTGGACGATTCAAAACTGGTTATACTTTGAGATTTCCCCGTGTTGAAAAGATTCGTGAGGACAAACCTTGGTTTGAATGCATGACAACTGAAGATTTAGATGACTTGAGACAGGTAAGTCAAATGTTGCTGTGATCAGGGTGGGGGGTTGGGAGGGCAGACAATAAGTTTTGATTAGTGGATAAATTACTTGCTGATCATTCAGGTTTTGTGGTTAGAGTAGTAGACAGGAGACCCTGAGTATACAGTGTAACCATCATTGCTGGATAAAGGAAACCATTTTGATTTATCCCAGCTCAGTGAAGTTAAGTAACATCGAGCCTGGTCAGTACCTAGATAGGTAACTACTTGGAAATACCAGGTGCTGTAAGCTTGGATGTGTGGGTGGTGTAATGGATAATGTCTTGAAATTGTTGATTGGAGAGCCAAATTCCAATTCCCGTTGGGTTTGTTATATTCACTTCCATGCAAATACTCTTGGGAAAGATGAATTCACCTCTCCTCCCCAAAGATATGGGTTAATTAGTAAGACTTGTATCACTAAAACATTTATTATCTAAAACATTTCTTATAATCTAAAATATTTTCTGGTTTTAAATAACCTGCAACAGGTTATATTAAGCTGTAAAAAAAAAAAATGAATCAAACATTTATTGTATTCCATAAAAAGTTGATCATTTGAAATTATGAAAGAGCATTTCTCTATGAAGCAGTTGCAAAAAACATTGAGTCATTTTCTAATGCTACTGCTATTTTTTAACCTGCACAAATTTGTGGCACAAGGTAAGGATTGAATTCACTTTAATTGTCAGCAAAATTAGTTTATTAATTATTGCTGTGATGAAGAACTTCAATGTGAATGAGGTTCTGTTAAAAAGAAGTCATTAGACTGAACTAAAGGATGAAAGGGTAGCATTGATTGAAAATTCTTCCTTTTTGTTTGTGGATTCAAGCAATTTGAAAACTGAACAAAATATCTCTTCAGTTTCAGGAAATGCAAAAACTACAATTTAGTCATATATTGTGGCAGAATTTACTTCTGTAAACTTCAACCTTTTTCTTATGAATTAACAATGAATTATTATGAATTTGACAAAAACCTTTTTGATTTCTTCAATGTCATGATGAACAATGAATAATGTTAACCTGTCAATGGAGAAGTCACTTTCGCAAAAAAAAAGTTTTGTTTTTTTGGGGTTTTTTTTTTTTTTCAAATTTCCTTTTTATTTTTCAGTTCTTGCCATTTTTAGATTTTTACCATAAGTGACTACAGAAAAATCCTGTTTTATGTTGGACCAAATTTTTACAATTTTCCCACTTTTCTAGAAATCTGGGGGCAAATTGGCAAACAGATTGTTGAGGTTGACATAGAAAATCATTTCCTAGAAGTGAAAAGAAGGAAAAAAGCCATCACACAAGAAAGACCCAAAGTTGGTGCCAATTTTCAGGCAGCAGACACATCACAAGTCAAACAGGTCAGAATGAATTTCTTTTAGGAGTAATCCCCAAGCTCTTTCAAATTGTTCAAATTTCCAATGTCACTGCCATTTCTGCTCACTATTAATACCCTTCCCCTTAGCCAGACATTCAGTATTGCATCATTTTCTGCTATCAGATTTACTGCATTAATGGCAAAAACAAGACAGGTTAAGCTTCTTGCATTTTTTGTATTATATGACTCAAGAATACTCTGCTTAAATATTTAAGTTTTTAAGAAAATATCTTTTTCTTGAAGTTTTTAATGTAATTTTAATTAGTTTAATTGATTCAAAATGTGAAAAATCCATATTTGAAATATTGACATGAATTTGGTTGGAAATTTTCTAGTTTTTCAATCAGTAGTTATTAAACATTTGAGTTCTTTTCACACTTTACTGAAATTTTTTTGACCTCTATACATATTCCGGAAAGTAACAATTCTATGTCTCTTCCTAATATGATTCATACCTGATTGTGAATTTAAAAAGTTTTGACATTAAAAGTGAAAATGAGATGCATTTTTGTCAGTCAATGTTGTTTTTTTTTTAAAATAAAGAAAAATGTTATACAACAGTGAAAAGATGTGCCATAAGTGGAAATTTTGATCAAGAACATTTTGGTCATTTATGATGATAATCAAATCGAAATAATCTCTCTCACACATTGAACATAATCTTGTATAAGCATTGTAAGATATTTAAAAAGTTGGGTACATGAATTGCTATGTTTGGGTGCCTCACAATTAACATTAAGAAATTAATGGACTACAATTCTGATTAAACAATAAAATCAACCCATTTTTGTAAAACACAATCAATAGGTGATAAAAAATGGCTTGTTTATATGAATGTGGAGAAGAACAAATCCAAGAAAAATGAAATAAACTACTCCAAAAGCCAGTCTGCATCCAAAGGTGATGCTGTGTATTATGTGACACAATTATTGGGACAACCACATGAGATTGAGATAAAATCTCATACCTAAGTGTTTCAGTGGCAGTCTGTGAGATATGCTCACAGCAGTTGACTGAAAGGAAACAGAAGTATTTTGGGTCGAACAACTGAGCATTGATGATTTTCAGTTGTTGGTCTATATATTAAATCATAGTTGAGATTGAATTGTCAGTTCCTCTGGTGGGGAACAGACTGCTCTTTGGATAATTTCAATACTTTACCCAACTATTTATTGGCCACATGTCATGTTCAGATGGGTAGAGTTGGTAAAAGGAAGAGCTGATCTGTCAGAGAGTTGTCTAATGTCAGGATTGAAGCCCTCAGTAAACACCTACTACTAATATTGAAAACAAGGGTTGAGTCATCACTTCTCACCATGGCATGTCTTTTATCTTTCATCCCTATGGACACAGCTGTTTAAAATGCCCATTTTTGTCATATAGGAAAATCCAACATGACACTTAAACAAAATATTCTGCTGTTTTTTTTTTAACCCCTGAAAATTGCTAATGGACTTTGTTTTTTTTTCCTTCAAAGTCTATGCCTGAAATAACTTATGATTTAGGCTTTCTGATTCCCTCCCAATGGTTAATTTCCCATTGGGGAAAATTTTTGTTTAGAACTAGAAAAATTCACTATTTTTTTCACATTTTACCCCACTGAAAAAAAATTGTCACTTACACCAGGCAATTTTACTTTTAAATGAAAGAACACATTGTTTGCTTTCAGAAAATTCCTCGTTTCATAGTGTTCAGATGACAAGTCATTTTTCAATATTTTACCACCTATAAAATTATGAAAATCTTTTTTTTTTCCACCCCCCCAGAGAAATTAGTGACAAAATGACTTTTGCTATTTTTGTGATTGTTACCATAGCTGACATGAATTGACTTTATTTTAATGGGCTTGTGGGACCCTTCCTGAGTTTTTGGTTCACATTGACGTAAGAATAGACACAATGTGTAGTAGTTAGTTGGCAGTGTTGATAGAATGCTGGACAAGGGCCTCATTATATAATCACAATTGTGCATTATCTCTTTCCACAATATCAGACCAGTATTATTCCTAATTCGACTGATTAAAAGGAGCAATCAATGAACAGCATCTGGAATTGATCAAGTGGAAGGATGTCATCTTCCATCAGGGCAGAAATTCTTACAGCTTCTAGAACAAAATCATGAAACTGCTTTTCACCATATTTGAAGCAATGGAACAAAATGGCATGGTTGTATATTTTCATATCAATCTTTGAATTTTGCTTAAAAAAACTATGAACTTTTAACCCGATATTTTGCATTTCACAAAATTCATTTTTTTCACGTCAAACTGAACATAAGTTTTGAAAGAAAAAAAAAAAAAAAGAAATATTTGGGTAAAGAGCAACATTTATTCAATTTGAACCATGGCTGACTTACTACCAAATATTTCCATGTTGAAAATGAATCTGTCAATGTAAACTAAAATTATATTTTGTACAGGAATCAGACATGTTATGCAATAAGGAGATTTGTGTTTACAATGGATCCAAAGAATGTTCAAAGGCTGAACTTGAGAAATTGATTGTAAAATTTGGAGGCAAAGTTGTCCAGAACCCAGGTAAGTTTCAATCCTGAAAGATTTTTGGTTTATTTATGTTCCAGTTGAATTATGACTTTTAAAGAGAAATTTGAAAAAAACAATCATTTCATTAGGAAGTCAGACCCAATGAGCCTGAAATCATTTCACAATCATAAATATTTCCATTGATCGAGTTAAGCTGGCTGATTTTTTTTATTCTTCAAATTTCTAATTCACTATTTTACCAATTCATATTTTACAACAGGAAATTTGACGAAATGCTGAAATCAATTTTTTTTCCTCCCCCAGATTCCATCACAAACTTTGTTTTGGCTGACAAAGTGACAGTTCGAGTAAATAATTTGGTGAAAGCAAATTCTCATGACATTGTCAAAGTATCTTGGTTTCTGAAATGTGCTCAGGCTTTTCAGTTGTTCCCATGGTGAGTGACACTGCTCATTTTGAAACACTGACCCCCAAAAAAATAAGTCTTCATATTTTTTTTTTTTTTGAATTGCCTTAATTGGTTATCGCATTTTTAATAGCTCTACAAATCCAAATTTGCAGTGCACCCCCCCTGTAAGTGTTGTCAAGAGAACAAGTCACCTTGAAATGCAAAGATGGTTAAAAAAAAAAAAAAAAAAAAAAAAAAAAATTCAAAAATGATTTTCTTTGGAGAGTTTAGAAATTTCTCTGCAAAATTTCATCTTAACTAAATGCTGTTTTATTAGTTTTTAATTACTCTTTCTAATGATACAAAACTAAACACAGTCAAGTTTCATTATAAAATCTTCAGCCCTTGGAAAGACATATGGCTTAGTGAAATTCTTTTTGTCACACTTAGAAACAAGCGTTAATTAAACTAAACTTTCCATGCAGGACACCACAAGACATGATCCATGCTTCTCAAGGAACTGTAACTCATTTTCAAAAGGATTTTGATCAATTTGGTGACAGTTACACACAACCATCAACAATTGCAGATTTGAAACAAGTTTTCAATAACATTGACCAGGTAAACACGACTTCCCTACCTACCAGTGTTTTTGCATAACCCAGAGTAAAAATGATTAAGACATCAATTTTTCCCTCCCTCTAGAGTGGCTTCCCACGGCTAACATCTTCAGAAATTGCAGACGTGGAAGAGGAATATTTTCAAGATGAGTCTCCATATGGATTATTCCGATTTTGCAGGTTAGTCTAAAATTCTATTGAAACCCAATTCATTAACCCCTTCCCCACTATTTTTTTTAATATGGTAACTGAGGCATCTTAAGTACCCAAACAGTGGCTAACACCTCTGCCAGATGTAATTGACAATTAGACTAATTTCAAGTGAACATGTTTATTCATCAATGTCTGAAAAGCACTTTAAATTGCAGCAGGAATCTTATTTTTCTCAGAAACCAACTTTAACCCAATTATGTCGTTTTTCTCTTTGTTAGAGTTTATATTGACAACAAATTGGATCCACTTGTGGCCACTACACAAATTCCTCATTCACCTTTGGATTTATTGGCTTTAGAACTCAGATATTTTGGAGCCTCTATTGAACCTATCTTAACTAATAACGTATCACATGTTATCATAGACAAAGGGTGAGTTTTTTTATTTTTATTTTTTTGCTTTGGGGCAGGGGTTTATATGCAAGGTTAAACTTGCATCAGATTTGTCAGTAACTGTTTGGGAATAATTTTAAATAAAATGGATTTTTTTTTTTTTAATTTACCACGTCATGTCACTTAATTTTCTTTTGCAAGGCATTGCTTTGAAACGGAAGCTGCACAAATCTTTCTTTAACATTTGAAAGAAATCTAGTTTTATCTTTGCAGTGACCTCTCAAGACTCTACTTTTTTAAAGATATACGTCGTCAACAGACCCAGAAGTTCCACATCATCTCTTCACAGTGGATAAAAGATTGTTTGGCAGAAGGAGAATTAATTAAGGAAGATGATTACAGATTGTAAAAAAAAAAATTAAAAAAATTCAATTTCACCACAATGAATAAAATTAAATCCATTACAAAATTTGCATTAGGAATTTTTTTTTTTTTTTCTTTCTTGTTGAGTTTCCATAAAAGTTTTATACATCATCATGATAAAAAGGTACATTAAACACACAAGTCTCTTTATAAGGAAATCCAAACCAGTTCTGTAGTAAAATTTGTTGCAGGGGGAAAAAAAAAAAAAAAAAAAATCTTTTTCTATCTGTTTATTTCGCATGCATCACATGAGGAAAAAGAAAAATCAGTCCAAGTCGAACTAACATCTCAATTATACAAGTTTGTCACATGCTTGGGTAAGAGCACCACCCACCCTCCCATCCATGCCAGCAATTATCATCCCCAATGGCCTAATCAAAACAACTTTTACATACTTCTTGTTGCTGCTACACAACTTACAACTTTAAAGATTTAATAATCGAAGTGGGGGGGGGGGCTTTCAGTAAAAGACTAGCATAATGAAAAAAGTGTGCATGTTTATCATCAAGGGCAGAGGTCAAAACATAGGGCAAGAAACAGGTAGAAAATTGTCACCTTGGCTGTAGCTTAAATCAGGATAATGACAGCATTGGATTGACAAATGATTTTAAATTCTACAGTGACCAGCCCTACTAACCCCCACCACTGCACCCCACCCATGACAACCACCATAGTACAGTACTATGCCTGTAGGAGAAAACTCAGATTGGAAGTAACAAAATATAAAAGTGGCAGAAATTAATGCATTTAATGAGCTTAAGTGACCATAAAGTTTGCAAAAATGATAAAGGGGGGGGGAGGGAAAAAAAATTGTTTGAGGATTTACAATTAAACTAATTCAAGCATAAAAAAAAAAAAAAAAAAAAAAAAAAAACACTTCTTTGAAATGTACACGAGCAAAGGAAAGGAAAGAGTAGACATGAATGGTTTTGGTAACAATGATAAGTAATGTCAAGTCAAATCCATTCAACAATCTCTTACTATCTCACTTGGGTAATTTACATCTCATTCACATTTCAAAGAGAAAGAAAATAAATTTGGCCAGAAAGAAAATCCTGTTTACAAAGTTTTTTTTTTTTTTTTTTTTTTTTTAAGATGTCACATTTTGACAGTTACTTGAAATTCAAGTTACTCAAATTTTTGTTTAAAAATTTAACAAAAATAATTAAGAAAACATTGAAAAGAGAAACTTATATCACAGATTGGGAATGAATGTAAATTTATTCATTTATTATTTTATACAAAACTTATTTCTTTAGAGAAGTTCCCAGGCACAACCATTAAATACACTACACCAAGAATTTCAATTGCAAACAAAATTATATTTCGTTGAAAGAATGTAAAGAAACCAATTTCACTTTCAAAAATAAGGATTTGTCAAAATTTACCGTCTATGTAATATATAAAATTAAGTCTGGTTTGGAGTAGTGGGTTTCATAAATAATAATTAAAAAGAAAAGAAAAAAAAAAGCCATTTCTAACAGAAATGGTGCCCAATGTCAGCACCAAATCCCAAAGGAAGACTTGAAAAGTTGAACAAGAAAATTGAGATTGTAGTAAATAAAGAATTGAAAATTCTCTTGCAGGGAATGTGTAGAGATGAAATGCAAAGCGTCAAACATCAAGTAGTTTCCTCTCAAGTCTTGCCTTTCCAAAGAGGAATCATCTACCTCAACCAATAGAAAGAGCAAGTATTGTTATCAATTGAGGTTTGCCCAGCTTCCTTTGTTATGGTCTTCATTTCTATTGCCCCCCATCCACATCAAAGAGACAAGTGGCTATCATTTTCTCTAATGAGGAAGAGGAGCCTTTTTTTTCCCTTTAAATATTTGATACTCCTTAACAGGTTTTTTGTAAGGGTAACAAGAATGTTATTTGTATGACAGTTGTTAGACTGGTATGTTACCACTTGCGCAAAATCTTCAAGCTATTGTAAGCCACTATGGTGGTTGTCATTGTCATAATATAAGAGTTAAGTCCTTCACCCACATCCATCAGGTGTGTAACCTGGTCAAAACTGGCCAGATTTGTAGCCATTTTAGAACCCAAATTTGTGGCTTCATGCAAGTTCAAAAATATTCAACAACAGGTGTTTATTTACTACATGTGGCTATGCGTATGTGCATGCATACATCACACAGTTTGTGTATTTATTTTAAATGTATCGAGTGGCCAGCCACAGTGTGTGTGTGTGTGTGTGTGTATATGTGTGTGTGTCACGCACTCTAGAATGACAAAAGGGGTTAAGTGATGTTACAACTGCTGGGTGGGTGACAAAAATGATAAAGAAAATAGAGAGGAAAAAAAAAAAAATATATATTTCAAATAAGGGAAGAAATAAGAATAATTAATAATGGAGGAGGAGGAAGAGAAGTGCTTGATAAGAAGAAGAAATGCCTTATGACTGCTATAGCTGCGTGCTGGAGTGGTGGCATCAATTTTTTTTTTTTTTTTGGTTGGCAGAGGCAGAATGCAGACACTGTAGGACAAGAAACATGTTAAATCCCTCCCAATGAATGACAATCCCTCCCCCATGAAGCTGATTGAGCTCAAATAGATTGGATTTTTTTTTTCCATTTCTCTTTTGAACTAATTTTTAACTTTTGCATTTAAAAAATTTTTTTTTGGTTTTGTTCCTTTCCTTCATTTATTCATTTGTTTTCCTTTTTATTTCATAGACTGCTGCAGGGACACCAGACAATCCCCAAGTAGTAGTAGTAGTAGTAATAATATTAATAGTAGTGGTAGTAGCAATTAGGTCATAGATGGATCTAAATCTTATCCACCCCCCCCGGTTTGTTACTTGTAATAGTTATTTTTAAACTCCTCCGATCTGGGGAACTGTCGTTTGCAGGGACCCACCCCCCTCCTGACTTAGCTGAGCTGGCCCTACCCTCCCCTACGCCAACCCTTGTATGGACGGCCCCCTGGAGTAGTAGCCATGAGATTAAGGCTGCTGCTGCTGCCGCCGCTACTGCCGCCCCTGCTGCTGCTGCCCCGGTTGCTTGATGACCATCCCTAGAACCCCTTCCCTGAAAAGAAAGGAAAAAAAAAAAAAATCTATATGTAGATAAAAGACAAAGAAACAAGTCAGCAAGATTACATCCTATAAATAAAGGATTTTTCAAATTTATTTTTAATTTTGGAGCAGGAATTTTTATGAAAAGTTATATAATGTATTTACATGGTTCAGACTTATTGCCATATACACAAAGCTCCAGCCATCTTCAGCTAATTTTAGTCCACAGGGATGGATTGTTCTATTTCCATGTGTCATGCCATTTTTTTTTTTTTTTTTTTATAATATCAGTTAATTCCCTTTAGTAACTCAACTCTTGGAAGTTTTTGGTCTCTGCTGTAAAGTATTGGACTCAACTCTTTGGGTCAGAGTCACGTGTCCTTGAATTTTTGAGACTAAACCTTATACAAGTTTTTTTTTTTTTTTTCTTTCCTCTAACTCTCCCTGTATTACTGGTTCCCACATTGTATTCATGTCTATGATTAGCTGGCTTAGATTTTTGTAGCCTAGCATATGCAATGATCCCTTAAGATTTGTATTACTTCCTCCAGAGGGTGAAGATCTCCCGTTTCCCGCTGTATAGGGTCAACCAGCCAGATTTTTTTCCTGGTGTTGCTATGCTGTAGGTTACTGCTTATACTTACCCATATGTCTGGGTGACCACTTATGCTTGATCGATGGTTTTATTGAATTCATATGGTTCAATAGTAGTTGAACCTCTTCCTGTTCGAGCCATCGATGTATCTCAGCCATAGAATTAAGTGATGTTGATTCTAATGCCATTTCCTCAAAGTATTTTATGTACATGTTAGCCAAAAGGTTTCAGTTCAAAATTCCAACATATATCACCTGAAGAAAGCAGAATGCAAACGCCGAAACCTTGCAGTATGACAATAAAGATGAGGACAACAGTCCGAATGACGTAGTGTAAACTGTTACCACACCTCATCTCAGAAATATAGACATATTATGCAATCTCATTGGCTATATATCATGGCATTCTATACTACAGGTTTACTCATAGTGCAAATAAGAGCTAGAACTGGAGACCTATTTTAACACTTCCCACTGAGAATGATGCATTTTAGTTTCAACATGGGTTGGCAATAGTTTGGTGTTGTAGATCATTTAAAAATTTAAGAGAAATGTTTTTCCACTTTAGCTTATTTAAGTGAAGTGTAATAGTTTTATACTGCAAAATGAATGAGAAAGTTATTAAAAATGTTTGTGTCATTAAATTTAATTTAATAATCTTAAACAAGGTGTAGAATTACAATAAAAGAATAGTAATTCCATTCTGGTTTCATCTTTTCTAACATGGAGATGGGGGGGGGTTGATTGTGCTTCTGAGAAGCACTTGTCAGCTAAATTGTTTTTTTTTTTTGTACTTTACAAAAATAATCACATTTAAGTCAGATGATGGTGAGGGAATAAAATATTTTTCTTCAACCATTTGATAAGACAAACAATTTTGGGAAGAGAAGAAAAAATTTACATTCAACTACACAATAAAAAAAAAAAAAATTAAATATTTCATTATGAAAATCTAATAAATCTCAGCAACATGAGATTTTCATTTATATACATAAAAAGAAGTGATTTAATTGGAGTAAAAATTCTATGAAACCAAAATCTGCCAAGAAAATAGATTCACTGTCCAACTCACAGCCCCAGTTATCAGTGCAGGTAACAAGTTTGTAAATATTGTATTGGTCACCATGTGCAAATGAAAAGATTTCCCCTAGTTCTTTGGGACAAACTGGTTGTTTTGATGCAGTCAAACGGTATAATTTAATGCCTACCATCTTTGATGAGCAGATGATCAAACGCCATAATTAACAGCAAGCCGTTCTCTGAGTGGCTGCGGAAACTGATCAGAGAACTTGGCCCAATTCTCATCTCCAACCTGTTGCTTGAATCCATGAAGAATCTAAAGAGAAGAGAAAAATTTTAAAAAGGGAAAAGTAGAAAGATTTTGCCCATTTTCAATTTGCAAGCAAGAAATGTACTACTGACATCTTTATTCTTTTAGTCATTTAAATACAAGCACACAAATTTGTATTAACAGTTTTTTCAAAAGCAGTGACTGACAGCAACATCTTTTTTCTTTAAGAGACAAAATGACTTTTCATTAGAAGAAATGTTGGTAACATATGTGGGTTATTTAATGCCAAAATCTAAAAGTTTTCAATGCCTTCAACTACAAAAATCTATTGCTTGTCATTTTTACTACAAAAATCTATTAGTATACATTCATAGTGTTTTTTTTTGGGGGGGGGGCACCATTTGCCTATAGCTGGGACCCTAATGAGTACTACCACCCCTTCAGTGCAAAGAAATGAGAATCCTAAAGAGAAAGCCTGCTACTAAAGTCTGTTCTTACTGCAGCTATGAAAAAATGATAAAAGTCAAACAGGCTAATGACAGAATCATTATTACAAAATAAAGTTATCAGTCAAGTCAGTCATACCTACAGTTCAAGTCTCTTTACTATTCAAAAGGACTGTACAGAACAGGTTCCAAAAATTGATAGATCCAAGTTCATCATCATAAACAAGAAAGCAAAAGATCATTGTAGTTAGACAGCCCAAACTCAACACCTTTTAATCCCAAAGTCCAGTGTCCATCACTTTTAGGTGATGTTATTAGCATTTATACTCAGCAATCCAACTAGCAATACAAGTGAGGTGCTTTTGCAACAAGACAATGCAAAGTCCAACATGGCTGGAAAACCTTGCCCCAATATACTAAGCTAACCTGGAACTAACTTTCAGAGCTTTTGATTCCTAATAAAACAGTAGTACTCCAATGGCAAGATAGTCAACTCACACAAAGCAGATCTACATTGTTGTAATTTATCTTTCAACGAAGGCAATAAAAACAGATTATATTAAAGACTAGATTTAGAATCCCAAGAATTTTGGGTTCATTTTGACATGCTTTGTGTGCTTCTAATTAAATATGTTGAAATTAAAGAATAGGTATTACTTTTTAACTGATCCTCATAATTCACCAAATATCTTATTTGGTAATTATTGCATAACACAAAGAAGACTAGAGCTATGGTCAAGTTTTCTGAAGTTACTAATAGGACCCTGGAGCAGGTTTGTAATACATAAGTTTTTAGTGAGGGTTCAATTTACAGCCTAAGCAAAAGACCAAACTACAGCTGTAATTTAAATCCATTATCTCTTGCAGTAAAGACTCCATGCAGCAGTAACTTATAGTTGTCAAAATCAGCTAAAGTCTAACAATTTGAGGGAAAGGTAATGGTTAAGAGATTTTGGGTTTTTTTGGAGGTTGCTCAGTGACAAACTTGACTAAGAAAAAGGTCAGAAATGATCTAGATGATTATTGTACCTTGTAGAACATGTCTTTCAGATCATGCTTGGGATGCATCCATGAAGCAACAGCATCACAAAAGAAAATAAAGTCCTGCACAACACCACCTGGGTTGACATTGATCATATTGCAGACGCCACGGAAAGCAGAATCTTTTTCTTCATTGTCTCTGATATTACGGAGGGAAGTACACCTGGAGCAAGTAATGCCAAACCAAAAAAAGTTTTTAAAACAAAATCAAGACAAAATGGAACAAGACTGAAGACTGAACAGAAGGAAAGGACTGTGTAAGGCAATCTCAAATTAATGAATATTTTGTTTGGGGAAAGTTTTTTTTTTTTTTTAAATTGAAATTAAATCCTTTAACTGATAAAAATATTCAGTAAGTTGTATATTGCACAATCCAATGTCTCCATCCAGAATAAGAGATGTGGCAATTTTTTTTTTTTTTTTTAAATGTCATAATTAAACAAAATCCAATTTCCCCTCCACAACATCTTAAGCACTAATATATATATATATATATATATATATATCAATGACCCAGTTTTTTTGTTTATTTTTTTTCAGTCTCACCTCGAGGCTGGCCTAACATTCAAGAAATAAAAATCACAAAAAAAAAAAAAATCATCCTCTACTCCCTCCCCACTAGATTAGCAATTGGTGTGGCAGAAATACCCTCCCATATGATGGTAAGACCAAGATAAAGACAACACAGTCACTAATGTCTCAACATTATGCGAGAGGCACCTCTGCCACACAAATACATACATACATACAAGGTGTTCCAATAACTTGGACCAATTTTAAATGTGAATTAAGTTTAAGTGCCCAATGATTTTTCTTTTTCTGATTTAACAACTTAAGCTTTTGGCAATTTCAATGAAGGAAAGATTAACAATCAAACAATGTGTTAAAGTTTGAAGAGTGCAATTGGAAAAATTGTAAATTCAAACAAACTGGGTTGGTGGCAAATGTGAAAACACCATTACATGCTGATTTACACCGGCCAGCTGAAAACATTGGTACAGTGCACAAGAATGTGGCCAAAAATCCAGACACCCCTATCCATCACCATGCACAGGAATTGAACCTCTCCACAACAACATTAGTGTTTCCAATTGCACTCTCAGTTGGTTGATTATGTTGAAGAAAAAAAAAAAAAATTTTTATATATATATATATATATATATATATATATATATATATATATATATATATTAATGTGAAATGCATTTCCATAATAGACATCAATAACTTCAATATTCATTGTTTGATTGGTAATTTCAACCATGTAAAGATTACCAAAGACTTAAGTTAAATCTGAAAGGAAAAAAAAAAAAAAATTAGATGCTTAAACAATTCACATTTAAAATCAGTCCAAGTTATTGGAACATGTGTGTGTGTGTGTGTGTGTGTGTGCATACATTATGAAAAGATGATGAACCTGACAAAGGAGGACTATTTTGCTCTTTAAGGAGAAAAAAAAAAAAAAAAAAATGCAAAACCTTTTCTTGCCATAAAAAGTGGACAGGTAGTGGAATCAAATTAAAAAAAATATGTATCTTGCTCCCCTACACTCAGGAGCAAGCATACGAGGGAAAGAAATAGGTGACAAGTAAGGGATTAGAAAAAAGGTGACAATTAGAAAAAGTCTCCCCACAATCAGTTTCCATTAAAACAAGCAAGCATTTGAAACTATTACATTTCAATGTTTAAAAAGACTGAACATAGGAAAGATTAGCTGCAAGAATAAAAGGGAAAGGAGGGAATTAAAATTTTTTTTTTTTTTAGTCCTTTTCAATTCCTTTTGAGGAACAGAAATTGTGTTCCGAGGTTAAAAGGGTTGATTTTTGCTTCAATTCTCACCATCCAGTGCTGGATTTCAGCCATCAGTACTGCTTAAATAAAAAGCACAACAAATGCCCAGCCCAATATCCCCCCCTTTGCATCTGTTATGCTGCCCCTCCAAAAATTAAAAAAAAAAAAAAAAAAAGACATTAGAGACAATCAGCAGAATATAACAGGAACTCAGAAGGCAAAAACCAAATTAAAAGAATTTATAATAAATATATATATATATATATATATATATATATATAAAAAAAAAATTAAAAACAAAATTCTGCATTTTTCTTTATTACAATTCATCACTAAAAAAAAAAAAAGATGTCCGTTTTATCTATCAAAAGTAAGTTTACTGAAAATTATTGCAAAATATAACCTCACTAGTGCGTGTAATATATCAATCAATTTAACCTTTGTACCATGCATATGAAGGTGTACAACAAAGAAAAACAAACTTTGGAAGAG